TCGGGCCTAGACCCTTCTTCAGAAGGGTCTAGGCCCGAAACGTCAGCCTTCCTGCTCCTCTGATGCTGCTTGGCCTGCTGTGTTCATCCAGCTCTACACCTTGTTACCCTAGTCCTTGCAGATGTTTTTCAAACAAATGTCCAGTTCCCTTTTGGAAGTTCCAGCACATTCCCTTAGCCCACAGCTTGAGAACTTGGAGGAACACTTGGAATGTCGTAAAATTCCAGGCCATGGATCCACTGCTGGAAAGTGGCACTAGGATAGAAATGTCAGCATAGACTCAATGGGCCTCTTCTGAGCTGTATCACCCTATAACACTATGACCATTCTTAACAGATATTGGAGTTGGTATGGGAGTCCATGGGGGCGTGAGAGTGGCATGGGTGATCTGTTGGGGGCGAATTGGATTGGCATGGAAGGTGACTTGAAACATGTTGGATTCTTAAAGGGCTTGACAGGGTCAATGCTGAGAGGATGTTTCCTCTCATGGGAGAGTCTAGGACCAGAGGGCATGGTCTCAGAGTATAGGGGCACCAATTGAAAACTGAGATGAGGAGGAATTTATTCTCCCAGAGCGTGTGAGTCTTTGGAACTCCTTACCACAGAGAGCTATGGGGGCATAGTCGTTGTGTATATTTAAGGCTGAGATCGACAGATTATTGATCAGTCAGGGAATCAAGGATTACGGGGAAAAGGGCAGGAAAGTGGATGTGAGGAATGTCGGATCAGCCGTGATCCTATTGAATGGTGGAGCAGGCTCTGGTTGGGGATGTAGGAGTGGGGGTGTGGGTTATGGAATGTGGGGAGATCCGGGTGTGGGGCAGGAGTGGGGTTGTGGCTGGGAATGTAGGGCTGGGGGTGTGGGACAGGAGTGGGGATGTGGTTGGGTATGTAGGGGTGGGGTTGTGGGTTAGGGAATCTGGGGAGACCTGGGTGTGGGGCAGGAGTGAGGTTGTGTTTGGGGATGTAGGGGTGGGCATGTGGGTTAGGAGTGGGTGTACGGGCGGGGATGTAGGGAGATCTGGGTATGGGGAGGGAGTGGGGATGTGGTTGGGGTGGTGGTAGTGGTGAGGGTGGGGATTATTAATGGGGATGTGGGTGGAGGTGGGAGAAGATGGTGGGGAGTAAGGGGAAGGTTTTATGGTCTCTGGATGAGTTGGTGAATTGGGGAACTGAAGTGGACCTTCTAGCGAGTGCTCCCCTCTCAGAGGCTCCATCACTGTTTGAGCCAAACCCTTTTGTGAAATGACAGGTCCTGGGCACAGTAACACTCTGGGTGGGTGTGTAAAAGTGCACTCGCAAGTTTCCTGAGGCCCTTCAGCCCATCATGTGCACACTGGCTCTCTCTGAGTGCCATCCTCCTGCCTGTAACCAGCCACTGGTCTCCCATTTCGCCACTTCTCGCTCAGGCTGGCCCTGACCTGACTCCTATCCATGCTAATGGTTATGGTAACATTCCGTCTCTCACTCTTTCTCCTCCAGATGTTAATGAATGTGAGCAAGTTGCTCAGGTTTGTGGAGGACAAGCTGTGTGTGAAAATATTCCGGGGAGTTACCACTGCAGCTGTCAGCCTGGATTCCGTGGCAATGGGAGCTACTGTGAAGGTTTGTAACTCGAGGGAGAGCAGGCACAACTCCTGACAAAGCAGCGTCACTCCAGGATTTCTTCAACACAGGAATGTTTATTACCCCTCACTGGGGCATCACACGGGGAAGCAAACCCTGCTATTCCCAGAGCTGTCACAGAAGTTAATTAAAAGAAATACAGTCCCCAAACAAAAGAAAAGATGCTGGAAAAGCTCAGCAGGTCTGGCAGCATCTGTGAAGGAGAAAACAGAGTTAACGTTTTGGGTCTGGTGACTCTTCCTCAGAACTTTCCTCAGTCCCCAAACAGCCTGACTTCCAGGCTCCAGGACTTCAGAAAGTACGGGCCAGGTTTTGGTACTAAACAAGACATCACTATTGATCACAGGTCATTAGATATGACCTACAGGTAAATAATTTATTTTTATTTATTCATAGGATGAGGGTGTCACTGGCTAGGCCAGCATTTATTGTCCATCCATAATCGCCCAAAGGGCAGTTCAGAGTCAACCACATTGCTGTGGGTCTGGAGTCACATGTAGGCCAGACCAGGTAAGGATGGCAATTTCCTTCCCGAAAGGACATTCGTGGCCCAGATGGGTTTTCTTTCCTAACAATCGACAATGGATTCATGGTCATCATTAGACTCTTAATTCCAGATTCTTTATTGAATTCAAATTCAACTATATGCCAAGGTAAGATTTGAACCTGGATAGCTAGAACACTGCCTGGGTTTCTGAATTAACAGTTCACTGATAATACCACTATGCCACTGCCTCCCCTTAATTAAAGTAATTAAAGTAAATTCAACCTTAATTAAAGTAAATCAAGCAAATTCTACAAATTAAAACTCTCATAAGTAATATTGCCGTTGTTCCAAAAGATTGCAAGGGTGCTCTCTCATTAAGGAGAGACAGCTGGTGGTGAGTTTAACCTGAGAGTCACCACACCTCAGGGAGAATCATTCATGGTAACCTCAGCCAGTGCAGGAATTGAACCTATGGTGTTAGTATCACACATCAACTGACAAGGGATTCCTCCGGGTGCTCTGGTTTCCTCCCACAGTCCAAAGATGTGCAGGCTAGGTGGATTGGCCAGGCTAAATTGACCGTAGTGTTCAGAGATGTGGAGATTAGGTGGGTTATAGGGGGATGGGTCGGTCTGGACTTGTTGGGTCGAATGGCCTGTTTCCACACTGTAGGGATTCCATGATTCTATGACTCTAAGCCATCTGATCTAACCAACCTCCTCATAAAACTCTTAACTCTTTATAAAGTCCCCTTTTCTCACACACAAATGGACAAACATAACCAGGGAGAATAAAACACGTGGGCAGAGGGAACGCTGCAGTAAAACAGTTTCATAGTTCCGTTCGTGAGATCTGTTGGGTTGATTCTTGTTGGCCCAAAGGTACCTCCTCAAACTTCCACTGGTTTGCAGGAGGCACAGGGTGACTGGATCACTTTTGAAAGATCTCTGACTTCTCCAATTCAAAATCACACCTTGCAGCTCCTGCCAAGGAAAGATAAACTGGATTTCTCCAGATTTAAGGAGACCTTCTTAAGAGAACGGAGAGAGAGTTTTCTGACTGCTGCAGACCTGCTGGTTTCTCTTCTGGTCTTCTGTCTTGCTGAAAGCCCAAGCTGTCCCGTTACCTGATAACAAATCACTTATTCATTTAACCTGAACCTTTTTCTGAAGAAGGCTCTAGGCCCGAAACGTCAGCCTTCCTGCTCCTCTGATGCTGCTTGGCCTGCTGTGTTCATCCAGCTCTACACCTTGTTATCTCAATAAATGTGGAGCTGGAAAAGCACAGCAGGTCAGGCAGCATCTGAGGAGAAGGGAAGACAACATTTTGGTCCTGACAAAAGGTTTCGGCCTGAAATGTTGTCTTCCCTGCTCCTCGGTTGCTGTCTGACCTGCTGTGCTTTTCCAGCTCCATATTTATTGACTTGGTCATTGATAACTGGTCACAAGTCTACACCAAGCAGCTTCACTTTTAAACAACCCCTGGCTCCAGTTTGTCTGCATATCACAGCTACACAAAAACAGTACTCACTAAACGTATTCAGTTCCTTACTTCCAAAACATGTAGCCATTCTTGCAAATCCCTGCATTTCAATGCAGCTCTTTTCCATGTCAGTGCACAGTTTCAAAAAGCACAAAATTATAAAGACACGGTGTTTCCACAGAGGAGGAAGAGTGGGCCATTCAGCCCTTTGAGCCTGCTCCTTTGTTCTAGATAATGGTAGATTATCAACCTCAGCACCATGTTCCATATCCTTTGATGTGATTACTATATCAAAAACTATCACTGTCTACTGTTGAGGGGAGGCGATGGTCTAGTGGTATTATCATTGGACTGTTAATCTAGAGACCCAGATAATGTTGTAGGGTCTGGGTTTAAATCCCGCCACGGCAGATCAATAAATACCTGGAATTAAGAATCTAATGATGACCGTGAATCCATTGTTAATTGTAGGGAAAAACCCATCTGGTTCACTAATGTCCTTTAGGGAAAGAAACTATCATCCTTACCTGGTTTGGCCTATATGTGACTCCAGACCCACGACAATGTGGTTGACTCTTAGCTGCCCTCTGGGCGATTAGGAATGGTAATAAATGCTGCCTAGCCAGCGATGCCCTCATCCCGTGAAAGAATTTTAAAAAAGCCTGAAACTTGCAAATGACTGAAGCTTCCAGGTCTCTGGGGTAGATTCTGAAGCTGTCAAACCTATGTCCTCCCAGATCTGGGGGCCACTGATCATTAATTCCTGATGATGCTTCTCTCTTTAACCTTTTCTAATCCTGAGATTTGGACATTAGGTTTTTTTAATGATCACAGCCCTGCACTGAAATTCAATATATCTGAATGCTCAGGAATGGCAGGCTGAATGGCGTTGGTGTGTGCTGTTGTGGTAATGACACTGTCTTGTTCCTATAGATGACAATGAGTGTGCCTCAGGACAGCACGGCTGTGACACTAATGCCCGATGTGGGAACATCATTGGCTCCTATTTCTGCCAGTGCTACCAGGGATTCAATGGAGACGGTTTCTCCTGCTTTGGTGAGCACTGCTCCCAACTCGCACAGACTGCAACCTGCCCACAGTTGCTGTGACAGTCCGACGCAGACACACACGCACATACACAGACATACACGCGCGTACACACACACACACACACAAACACACGCATGCATACACACACAGACACAGACGTACACGTGCACACACAGACATACACGCGCGCACACGCACACACAGACATACACGCGCACACACACACACATGCATACACACACAGACAGACATACACGCGCACACAGATACACGTGCACGCGCACACACACGGACATACACACGTGCGCACACGCACACACAGAGACATACACGCGCACGCGCACACACATACACACACAGCCACACACGCACACACACAGACACACACGCACACACACCGACACATATACACAGACACGCGCACACACACAGATGCGCACATACATACACAGACACACACACAGACACAGACATATACAGACGCACACATACACACACAGACACACACATACAGACGCATGCATACACACAGTCATACTCCCCATACAGACAGAGAGACACACACAGACGCACTCACCTATACACACAGACACAGCCATACACACAGAGAGAGACACAGACATGCGCGCGCACGCACACACACACACACACACACACACACACATTCTCACACAGACACAGAGGCACATATCCAGACATGATCAAAACTGAAAGAACTGCGGATGCTGTACATCAGAAACAAAAATAGAAGTCCCTGGAAAATCTCAGCAATGCTGGCAGCATCTGTGGAGAGAAATTAGCATGTACATTTTGGGTCCAGTGATCCATCTTCAGAACTCCGAACTCTCCACAGGTGCTGCCAGACCTGTCGAGCTTTTCCAGCAATTTCTGTTTTTAGTTCCTACATTTGATCACTGTCACACAAACACTTCTAACACTCAACCACACAGCCTAACAAGTCATTCACGTATTTTGGGACAGTGTAGCGGTAACTTTATTCTGTATCTAACCCTGTGCTGTCCCTGTCCTGGGAGTGTTTGATGGGGGACAGTGTAGAGGGAGCTTTACTGTATCTAACCCTGTGCTGTCCCTGTCCTGGGAGTGTTTGATGGGGGACAGTGAAGAGGGAGCTTTACTCTGTATCTAGCCCTGTGCCGTCCCTGTCCTGAGAGGGTTTGATGCGGGACAGTGCAGAGGGAGCTTTACTCTGTATCTAACGCTGTGCTGTCCCTGATCTGGGAGTGTTTGATGGGAAATAGTGTAGATGGAGTTTTACTCTGTATCTAACCCTGTGTTGTCCCTGTGCTGGGAGTGTTTGATGGGGGGCAGTGTCGAGGCAGCTTTACTATGTATCTAACCCTATGCTGTCCCTGTCCTGGGGGTGTTTGATGGGGGGGCCATGTAGAGGCGGCTTTACTCTGTATCTAACCCTGTGCTGTCCCTGTCCTGGAGGTGTTTGATGGGGGACAGTGTACAGAGAGCTTTACTCTGTATCTAACCCCATTTCTGTCCCTGTACTGGGCGTGTTTGATGGGGATGGTGTAGAGGGAGCTTTACTCTGTATCTAACCCCATGCTGTTCCTGTCCCTGGGAGTGTTTGATGGGGGGCAGTGTAGAGGGAGCTTTACTCTGTATCTAACCCCATGCTGTCCCTGTCCTGGGAGTGTTTGATGGAGGACAGTGTAGAGGGAGCTTTACTCTGTATCTAACCCCGTGGTGTCTCTGTCCTGGGAGTGCCTATTCAGACATGTTTCTCAGTTTGTTCTTGTGGTGACTTTCTCTGAATTGCCAGTCGAGTGCGAGAATTAGAAGGCTTTACTCCCAGTGTGAATGCTGATCCTTGCTCACAGTCATTTTGCCTGATCGTTGTTGGTTGTGATTTTACAGACATCGATGAGTGCTCCGTCAGTAATGGGCAGTGCCAGCAGGTGTGTGTCAATGAAGCGGGCAGCTTCAAGTGCCAATGTAACAAGGGTTACACACTGACTGTCGACAGCATGACTTGCACAGGTAAACAAGTACAGATAAACTTACAGTGAAACAGTACAGGTGTCTATAGACTCTGGAACAGTCCCTGCAGATTGGAGGGTGGCTAATGTCACTCCAATATTCAAAAAGGGAGGTAGAGAGAAAACAAGAAATTATAGACCAGTGAGTCTAACATCGATAATGGGGAAAATTCTCAAATCCATTATCAAGCACTCTAAAGCAGAGCATTTAGAAACCAGTGGCAGGATCAGACAGGGTCAGCATGGATTTATGAAGGGGAAACCATGCTTGACAAATCTGTTGGAATTCTATGAAAATGTAACTAGTAGAGTTGACAAGGGGGAGCCAGTCGATGTGGTATATTTGGACTTTCAGAAAGTCCCACATAAGAGATTAATGTGTAAGATTAAAGCGCATGAGATTAGGGGGAAATATATTGAGATGGATAGGAAACTGGTTGGCAGAGAGGAAACAAAGAGTAGGAATTAATGGTTCCTTTTCAAATTGGCAGGCAGTAACTATTGGGGTGCCACAGGGATCAGTGCTGGGTCCCCAGCTATTCATGATATATATTAATGATTTGGATGAAGGAACAAAATGTAACATCTCAAAGTTTGCAGATGATACCAAATTGGGTGGGAGGGTGAACTGTGATGAGGATGCAGAGATCCTACAGCATGATCTGGACAGGTTGGGTGATTGGGCAAATCAATGGCAGATGCAAAATAATTAGGATAAATGTGAGGTTATTCACTTCGGAAGCAAAATCAAGAAGGCAGATTACTACCAGAATGGCTGTAAATTGGGAAAGGGGAGTGTGCAGTGGGACCTGGGTGTCCTTGTGCACCAGTTGCTGAAGGTAAGCATGCAGGTACAGCAGGTGGTAAAGAAGGTAAATGGTATGTTGGCCTTCATTGTGAGAGGTTTTGAGTACAGGAACAGGGATGTGTTGTTGCAGTTATACAGGGCCTTGGTGAGACCACACCTGGAATATTGTGTGCAGTTTTGGTCTCCTTTTCCGAGGAAGGATGCCCTTGCCCTCGAGGAAGTGCAGTGAAGGTTTACCAGGCTGATTCTGGGGATGGCGGGACTGACATATGAGGAGAGATTGACTTAGTTGGGATTGTTTTTGCTGGAGTTCAGACGAATGAGGGGGATCTCATAAAGACTTATAAAATTCTAACAGGACTGGACAGGGTAGATGCAGGGAGGATGTTCCTGATGGTGGGTTTGTCCAGAACCAGGGGTCACAGTATGAGGATTCGGGGTAGATGATTTAGGACGGAGATGTGACATTTCTTCACCCAAAGAGTGGTGAGCCTGTGGAATTTATTACCACAGGAACTAGTTGTTGCCAAAACATTGAATGTATTCAAGAGGTGACTAGATATAGCTCTTGGGGTGATTGGGATCAAAGGTTATGGGGAGAAAGCAAGATTAGGCTATTGAGTTGGATGATCAGCCATGATCGTGAAGAATGGTGGAGCAGGCTCGAAGGGCCAAATGGCCTCCTCCTGCTCCTATCTTCTATGTTTCTTTTTGGCCCATATCCCTCTAAATCATTTTTATACGTGTACTCATCCAGGTATCTTTTAAATGTACCAGCCTCCACCACTTCCTCTGGCAGCTTGTTCCATACATAGACTACCCTCTGTGTGAGAAAGTTACCCCTCTGGTCCTTCTTACATCTTTCCCCTCTCACCTTGAACCCATGCCCTCTAGTTTTGGACTCCTCTACCCTGGGAAAAAGACCTTGACTTGACCTTGACTTGACTTATTCACCTTATCCTTGCCCCTCGTGATTTTCTAAACCTCTATAAGGTCACTCCTCAGCCTCCGACGCTGCAGGGAAAATAGTCCCAGCCTATTCAGCTTCTCCCTACAGCTTAAACCCTCCAACCCTGGCAAAATTCTTGTCAATTTTTTTTGAACCGTTTCAAGTTTAACAAGATCTTTCCTATAGCAGGGAGATCAGAACTGAATGCAGTATTCCAATTGTGGCCAAGCCAATGACCTGTACAGTTGCAACATGACTTCCCAACTCCTTTAATCAATGCACTGACCAATAAAGACAAATATGCCAAAAACCTTCTTTACTATCCTGTCTATCTGTGACTCCACTTTCAAGGAACTATGAATGTGCGCTCCAAGGCCTCTTCGTTCAGCCACACTCACCACCACCTTACCACCAAGAGTATAAATGCTGCTCTGATTTCCTTTCCAAAACATAGCACCTCACATTTATCTAAATTAAACTCCATTTGCCACTCGACCCATTGGCCCATCTGATCAAGGTGCTGTTGTACTCTGAGATAATCTTCTTCACTGCCCACTATGCCTCCAATTTTTGTATCATCTGCCAAACGACAGTAAACCAATTACAGTTAAACTGCCTTGATTTAGTGGCCGACAGCAAGAGCAGGCAGGTGAAGCATGGGGTGGAGGTGATATTACGTGAATAGACAACACCAGCGGAGACGTGGACAGAAAGTCCCCTTCTTCAACAGGACAAAGGCAGTTGCTGTTTGTGTGTGAGAGAGGCCATGTCTGATGTCAATGTTTCTGTGTTTCTCCAGTTTATTTCCTGACCCCCTCTCTGAGCTCATCCTGTCCCAGTTACCCACCACCTGCAGATATGGGGGAGTGTGAAGAGAGGCATTTTTGCACACTGAGTGACAGTGACCCAGAGCTCTCTGCATCACTGTTAGTGACACCTTCCATCACTTTACTGATGATAGAAAGTAGACTGATGGGGTGGTAATTGACGGGGTTGGATTTAGAGTCATAGAGTAATACAGCATGGAAACCGGCCCTTCAGCCTAAACTGGTCCATGCTGACCATGGTGCCCACTCAGCTAGTTCCAATTGACTGCATTTAGTCCACATCCCTCAATGTAGAAACATTTGACTGTACATTTTGTAGAGTCATTCGGCACAAGTGAGGTTCTTCGGCCCATCAATCCTACGCTGACCTATATATGCTTATCCCACATTCCCACACTGGGCCCATAGCCTTGAATATTATGACATCTGAATTACTCAAACAAGTAATGTTTGGTCTCCCTCCTCAACTACCATCCCAGATAGTGCATTCCAGACAACCCCTGCCCTCTGGGTGAAAGAACCCTTCCTCAAGTACCCTCTAAACCAACTGCCTATCACCCTAAAATGATGCTCCATTGTTATTGGCCATTGACTAAGAGGAGCGGCTTCTTCCCATCTCCCCTGTCCATGCCTGTCATAATCTTATAGACCTCAGTCAAGTCCCCCCTCAGCCTTCTCTGCTCCAGAGGAAACAACCTGAGCTTATTCAGCCTCTCTTCATCACTGAAATGCCCCATCCCAGGCAATGTCCTGGTGAACCTCCTGTGTACCCCCTTCACTGCAAGCACATCCTTCCTACAGTGCAGAGACCAGAACTGCGCACAGCTTTGTTTTTATTCATTCACGGGATGTGGGTGTCACTGTGCAGGCCACACTTATTACCCATCCCTAATTGCCCAGAGGGCAGTTGAGCGTAATTCACATTGCTGTGGGCCTGGAGTCATATGTAGGCCAGATGATGTAAAGATGGCAGTTTTCTTCCCTAAAGGACATTAGTGAACCTGATGGGTTTTCCGACATCGACAATGGATTCACGGTCATCGTTAGTCCATTACTCCAGATTTTTATTGAATTCAAATGCCACCGTCTATCATAGTGGTATTCGAACCCACAATCCCAGGGCATTAAAAGGTACCTGAATTAATAGTCGAATGATAATACCACTAGGCCATCACCTCTCCTTGCAGTACTCCAGCTGTGATCTAACCAAAAGTCTTGTATAGCTCAAATACAACTTCCCTTCTCAAATAATGTAGGCCTGGACTGACAAAAGCAAGTATTTTTTATTTACTTGTGGGTGTCACTGGCTGGGCCAACATTTACTGCTCTTGAGAAGGGGATGCTGAGCTGCCTTCTTGAACTGAATGCTGCCTTGATGTCAAGGGCTGTCACTCTCACCTCACCTCTGGAATTCAGCTCTTTTGTCCATGTTTGAACCAAGGCTATAGTGAGGTCAGGAGCTGAGTGGCCCTGGCAGAACCCAAACTGGGCGTCACTGAGCAGGTTATTGCTGAGCAGGTGCTGTTTGATAGCACTGTTACTGACACCTTCCATCACTTTACTGATGATCGAGAGGAGACTGATGGCGCGGTAATTGAGATAACAAGATGTAGAGCTGGATGAACACAGCAGGCCAAGCAGCATCAGAGGAGCAGGAAGGCTGACGTTTCGGGCCTAGACCCTAATACAGCATGGAAACAGGCCCTTCAGCCCAAACTGGTCCATGCTGACCATGGTGCCCACTCAGTTAGTTCCAATTGACTGCATTTAGTCCATATCCCTCTAAACCCTTCCCATCCATGTACCTATCCAAATGGTTTTTAAATGTTGCTATTGTACCTGCCTCAACCACTTTCTCTGGATGCCCATTCGATTTACACACCACTCTCCGTGTGAAAACGTTGCCCCTCAGGACGTTCTTAAAGCTTTCCCCTCTCACCTTAAACCTATGCCCTCTAGTTTTCAATTCCTCCTCCATGGGAAAAAGATGATATGCGTTCATCCTGTCTGTGCCCCTCATTTTATACACCTCAATAAGGTCACCCCTCATTCTTTTACATTCCAAGGAATAAAGTCCTATCTTGGCCAACCTCTCCCTATCACTCAGTCCTGGCAACATCCTCATAAATGTTCTTTGCACATTTTCCAGTTTAACATATGTCTTTCCTACAACAGGGTGGCCAAAACTGTACACAATACTCCAAGTGCGGCCTCACCAATGACTTATACAACTGTAACATGGTGTCCCACCTCCTATACTCAATGCCTCGACCGATGAAGGCCAGCATGCTAAATGCCTTCTTCACCACCCTGTCCACCTGTGACGCTGCTTTCAACGAACTATGTACTTGTACTCCTAGGTTCATCTGTTCCTCAACACTCCTCAAGGACCTTACCATTTACTGTATAAGTCCTAA